ACTGTGGCAATGTCAAGAGAGCAGCGCTATGATTGATCACCTCACAACCCACTTTAATTTAAAGTCAATGGCATCTATAGATACCTGTCAATGCGGGCCAACATGTAATGTCTCCTCAATGGCCAGAACCCCTAGCTCTTCAGCCGAGGAGCAACTAAAGCTAAGTAGAGGTTTAGCCGCCTGATCTGTCCAAGAAGAAAAAAAAAAAAACAAAGGGGGGAAAATGTGGGTAGGCTAATCACTCACCTGGTTGTATTATTTCTGTGACAGAAAATGTAAGGTGTTCAATGGCGATTTGTGTCGAAGATGGATTGCAGCAGGTAAAACCATTTTAACGCTTGATTGAGTTCCCTACGCAAACATGACTGAAGGGAAATTAATTTCCATTATTCACTACTGGTTACAGAATTTAGTTGGAAATACAGTTTCTACCGTCGGCGAGGTGAGTTTTCTTCCATGCCTACGACAATAAATATACCAGGATAAAACTGTCTTGCCATTTAAGAGGAATTGAATGGGATCCTGTTAAAAAAGATTTAGTGAGAGTCTCATTTAATTGTTCTACACTGATTTAAGTTCTTGTTTGGGATTAATTATCCCTGATATTACTCTGGAAAAATCAAAAATAAAAAACTGTTTTTAATTTCTGAAATTTTTTTTCACACCTTATCTCATCTCCCTGAATCCAGAATCACATATCATCTTGTTTCATGATTTCAGTGTCTCATTACAATCCTCGCAAATGCATTTAAGTTTTGTGTGATGGTCTTTCTTCCCCAGTCTGTACGCGGCACAGCATGTCCGCCGTTTGTCATTATATAGTTATTGCTAGAGAATACTGTGAGTGAGTCAGAGCTACAGTCCCAGTCAAGTCAAACACAGTGCAAGCTCATCCAGTTCGGATCAGGTAACTGTGGCTATCAACAGGTACCATTTGTCATAAGTAGCCAAGGAAAGGCTGAACAGAAGCTATTTTTAAACAAAATTAAATTTTTCTTCCTATACTTTCATCTATCCTTAAACTTCTAATTTATAATTTTTATCCTCATGATTAAAAGGTTAATAAGCAGCAAAGGCAACAACAAATCCTAAATGCCATATTGTAAAAAGACAGAAGTAGCTTTTTCACCAGGAATTACTAAAATTAAACCAGGATTCTCAGCCTTTTGCAACTGTTTTACTTTGTTAAATCCCCTGAACGTATCCTGAAAAAAAAAAAGCCCAAAAAAACATTTTGAGGCCTTAAAAGAAAAGCTGAATGTAACATATACAGGGCCATTACAAGTCAGCCTTGAGCAAACGTGAAAAAAATATATATATAAAAAAACACCCACTGCGAGGGAGGAGTGAGTGTCTGTTTTGTTCATTTCATGCACAGTAAACTGTGCCTGATTGTGCCGTGTCACCCTGTTGCTCTAAATCTACGTCTCCACATGCCGACTTATGCATACTCGGGCACATTTTGAATAGGCAAGAGTCTATCTGCCAAACGGAATCTCATTTTTTGATGCACTCCATTTCATACTGTAAGTCAGCTAAGTGGCTTTAAGCTGATCATCCAGCCATAGAGCCCAGTTGGAGTACATCAGTGTACAGACGTAGGGGAGAAAGGTTAAAAGAAAAGATTAACTGTTAGTGTATTGAGCAAACTATTTTTACAGTAAGCTCTAATAGGTCCACAAGACATATACTGAAGCTTACTAAAGTATTCATGCTATTAAAAATGTCCCATATTTTGCTATGACTGCAAATACAACATGTTTTATCACGATTATGTGATAAACCAATACACAAGAGAAGGAAAATTATTCTAAAAATGTGTGGCATGCATGTTTTCATCCAATTCCCCTTGATAAAATTTATTGCAACCATTCAACAAGTTGAATCAGAGGTTACCTAATTAATAATTTAAGTTCACCTGTGTTTTAGATTTACAGTTGATTAGAGAACATAGGGGCAATGGACGGATTCTCCCACGATCACAAGATCTTGGTAAACAAAAAAACAAAACAAAAAATCAGAATGAATAATATTTCAGAATGAAAGGTCTTTCATTACCTCAAGGGAAACTTGCATATAGTTTCTTATGCTCAGGAGGGCAATCTCATGCCATGACACACAGAGGCATAATGCACAACCGTATAAAAAAATCTCAAACGCAACTATGATTCTGTGACTCAGCAAAGCTCTCCCCTCTACAAGAAGACATGCAAGTCGGGTCAAGTTTATTTGTGCAGCGCATTGCAGCAGTGAGGCAGTTCAAAGTGCTTTGCATCATAAAAACAGAAGTCAACATTTATGAACCATGCAATAAATCTTACATTTTGTCAAATGTCACCAAAATCATCAAGCAAATGCACATGAAAAATGTTGATTCTGACTAATCAAAGGAAACACTAAACACCTGGGTTTTTAGCTTTGATTTTAAGGAAACTCAGTGTTTTGGCTGTTTTGCCGTTTTCTGGAAGTTTGTTCCAGATTCCACGCCCATTTGGAAGTTAGATTAACCTACAGATCACAGACAGCTTTATAGCATCGTGCTAACACTTCATTGTCACACACTAAACTAAATGTGTTCCCATTCGTGTGAACATTACGGATTAAACTCGAAACCACGCTCTTCCTGCTCTGTGCTTGTCCTTAACAGCCCAGTCCGTGCCACAGGCATGACGCAGCTTCTCTAATAGTCAGTGCTTAGCGAATGTGGAGACCCCTGAAATGTGAAAATCAATCATGGATGACAGCTCATTTGGGCTATCTACCAGGGAAAGGCAGAGAAAGAGAATAAAAACGGAGCAGAAATTCCAATTACACAGTCAATGCTCATTTGTTTCACGGATATGTGTAACTTCTGGCTGATGTAGTTAATGCCTCCATCTGGGTGTAGACTGAGCGTCCTGCAGGTATAACTTGTCTAATAGAGGCAGTGTTCTGTGAATTAAAAAAAGAGATATCAACAGCCCATGTGTTTAAATGAGGAAGCCACAAAGCTGCAAGAGTATTTCGGAGCCAGGCCACATATTCCCCAATATAACGAGTAAAGCATGGATACCTTCTGCTGATTAGAGAAGACAAATAACAGCATCCTGTTCAGTCTGAAGGGTGTCAGAAGGAAACAAACAAACTTTATTTTACCACTAAACAAACAGGACAAAAAGTCTGTTTTAGCACACAAGTAAAAAGGGGGGAAACTTAAACTTTAAATGACATTAACAAATCCCAAGACAGGATCACGATCTCCCAGCGGCAGCTCACATGACCCGTTTAACCTTTTAGCAAACCATGCAAACTGCACGATCTGTTTATCGGCTCTCTTGTTGCCCGTGGATGGAGTGCCACTGCAGCTCACTGTGAAGTCAAATTCCTCAAAATGAATATAATTTTGTCTGAGCAATCTAATAAAACCCAAGACTCATTTTCCCCTTTTTCCTCCCTACCTTCCATATATCCTGATAGAATCGCTGTGATTCATGCGGGCCGCGGTGGCAGCTCTCAGTATGCGATGAGCAAAAGGCACCTTGGGGAATTTTATGATCCATGACGAAGCTTCCGGGATCATTGTGGATGTATGCATGTGTCACTGCATATTAATAATGGTCTCTGTCTCATGAAAGCGCCAGCACACCTTCAAAGGAGATAATTTAATCTTCTCACTGCTGAGCCTCTTCTGTGCTCTGCGCCCGCAAATACTTTCCCCCCGGAATCCAGAGGAAACCATTGGTCGGTGTGCACCTTGGCTTTCAGGAAATAAAAAGCAAAACAGGGCATGCTAGAGGAAGTAAAGCCAACAAGGAGGAGAAAATAAGCTCCAGAGAATGATAACTCAGAGGTGAAGGAAAAACCCCTTTTTCTATGGCTACATATGTAAATTGAGCGGTCACACAATGCAATCCAGGCGACTATGAGGAATAGTTCTATTTTGTTTTTGTTTTTTTAACTCGGTTATCTGAAGTGCTGCGAATCATGTGCAGTCACTTTAAAGTCCCTCATTAGCAATTCCTATCCAGTCGGGCTGTTTTATCTTTTGTCCCCATTCATGTACTGTTAGCTTACAAACAAGACAAAGAACAAGGCAGGCTGCTCTTAACTGAGCTCCATGAGGCCTTCATCCCTCTTCTTCTCATCTTCTCCTTTAAGGGCCCTCACCCTGCGGTGGGTCCAGCAAATGAGGAGAGCATTGTTGGATCCTGGACCTGTATACAGTATACTGCAGCACCATGGAGAGCACAGCTAACGCTACAGATGAGTGACTGAGCAGCAACTCTTCGCCTTCACTTTTAATGAACACTCGAACTGCTGCGGTTTTGTCGATTGAGCTGCCTGCACATGTTTTCAAAAATGCTCTTTTGATCTCTCACATGTGGAGAAAGGGTCAAATTTGGTGTTCCAGCACGGTTGGCCTTTTGACAGATCATAATGAGGCAGAAAGTTTCCAATAAATTTCCAGAAACATGGAAATTTTGCAAATATTCCAAATTTGACGCTTTTTATTGTAATTATGAAAATAAAGGAATATTTTGGGAAATTAACTAAAATTTGGTGGTAATTTAAATAAACTTTCATAGCCAAATATAAATATATGGGTTTCTTTGTCATTCACAGACATTAACGATACTCCTTCAGTAAGAAGCATGCATGAAACTGGGAACATCATTAGTTCAGATTTACACCTAAATACCAGTCGCTTTCAAGAAGATTGTTCAAAAATAAATGTATTTGTAAATATATATGTTTATTCTAAAAACTTAATTCCATTTTAAGACATTTATATGATTTATGCATGGACAGATTAAGAAACAACCTAATATTGCTTTGTGTAAATTTGTTTGAAGGAAAAAACAAATCCAACGTACAACTTCCTGCAATTTCAGCTTCTTAAAATTGCTTCATATTTATCACAAGTGAATACTAGGTTTTATTCTTCTAATATACCACACCAAAACATTTATCAAAGTGCTAAAGTTGTTGTAATACTCTAATTTTAATGTTAAAAACTGTCATGTTCTGGGGTTTTCTTTCAGCTCCTTGTGGAGTTTTTGTGTATGCACTGGTTCTGTTTCCACCACTAGAGGGAGCCTATTCCATTTGGTCGGAGGGCGAGGATGACGTCATCCCACACCTGAGGCGAATTGAGCTCATCAACGAGACGTTCAAGAGAGGCAGACTGCCAGTCCTTCGGCGCCTGAGTGTTAGCCAGTCATGGTAGCTCCAAGCCCCTAGAAGCTTGCTTCTGTTACTCTGTTTCCTAGTGAAAAAGAAAACTTCCTTGTTGTTTTTTCTCGCCTTCAGGTGCTTCCTCCTGGCCTCTCGTTGTCCGAGCCCCCAGACTCACTCCATCCGTGAACCATCCAGCTCCTCCCAGATTCCCACGACTGGCAGTCGTACTGCTTCTCTACCGCCGCCGCTCTAGCCTACCTGTCCGCCCTCCGACGTGCTCCCGTTTCTTCCTGGATTTCAGCCAGCCAACATCACCGCGACCTGGAACCACTGAGAACCGTAAACCCCGGACATTTCAGTACTCCCTCACCTCGCTAACCCAGCGGTCCTTCAAGTAAGACTTGTTCCCTCCCTCACATGCAATATTTTACTAGAACCTTGAACTCACCATCTACTCTGCCCCTCCAGTGAACCGCTTGTTTCCTGTTGTCGCCTTTCTCCCTGGATCGACCCGAGCCTTCAGTGCTCTGCAGCAGTGTCTTCAATAAACTTCACTTTTTTTCTGTACTACAGTTTTCCCCTGAGTGTGTTCTGCATTTGGGCTAACTATTCACTCCCAATATGACAAAAACAGAAAGCCAGTTAACATTTGTCCAGAGGGAGATGTCTCTAAAGAAAATAAGAGCTACTATTAAGTAGATTCACAGAAAAAAAAAACTTTGCTGCAACGCAATAAAACATTTACTGCACAAAGCAATCCTCTGTTAGCAACAATGATAACAAAGTGCTTTTAACCATAAAGGTAATGTCAGCTAATGAAGGAAGTGCATTAAGGCGATACATTAAGACTCATAAACCCAAGAAAAAAATCATTAATAATCCATCTAGAATGTAGTCAACCAGAGAAAAAGCTACATCAATGTCAAATAAGTGCTCGTATGGAGAAGCTCTATTGAAATGCAGTGCAGAACATTTGGAATATTAACATGGAAGCTTAATGTCCTGATCTTTGCGTGGGTTGGTGAGGTTTAAATGAGTTTTAAAAGCTTTGCAGAGCAACATGAGTAACCTCCGCCTTTTGTCTCGTGAATATCAGCTATTATAACTTTTTATTTTTCAGGGCCAGAACATGGTCTATTTTCTAATTATCTAATTTCATGGGTTTTTTTTCTTCTGTGCTCTATTGAAGATGCCAGTAACTGCAGACAGAAACAAATCTGACAAAATGAGAACGCTTGCAAAAAGCAAAACAGACTGTATCGTATGTTGCTTGTTTCTGGGAAAGTGGGTCTACATTGCTTTGTAGGAGCATTGATAACAAGGCATTACAAAAAAGATACACTCAGAGAAAATAAAAAGGAAGCTTAGCAAATCTTAGCTAAAGACTGAAAACAGCTTTTAACAACGCTGAGCTAACATAATGAGGAGAGGCGTTAATCGACACATTCTCAATGAAGCCTGAAGAAAGGAATACACTGTCGTAAATCAGATTCATTTTTAGCCTCTGTTAGAAGGAGCAGCCTAATGTAGCGTGCAGTGGATCTCATCTCATACTCTCTCAAACGGTGGGTTCACCACAATGCAAGGGAGAATCAGTCAAATATTAACTTCTATGGGCTTTGATTGCCAATAACTTTTGGCTAGCCAAACTTCTATCCTTGTCAAGAGAACTGACAAGAAGCCTGGTACATTTTACACCTAACCACCTTAAGACAGACATCGTATGTCATGGACATAAATACTTCCAAGTTAATCTAAATGTCTAGTTTTATTAATAATTGTCCTAAATTATTATTTACCGTTATTCATAACCAAAGCCAGACCTTTGTTGTACAACAAATAACTTAATAACTTTAATATTCAGAAACCGATTGTCCTTTGGATTTTGCAAGGATGTCAGTCATCTAAAGAAAATGTCAGAAATATAAAATATATTTGCCTGCCAATGTTTTGCCACAATGTAAATCTAGGGATATCAAACTCCACTCTTGGAGGGTTGCTGTCATAAAGTTCCTCTCTGGTCCAACACATCAGACTGTGATGACTGAATAACCTTGTCAGAGAACAAACATGTTCTGTTTCACACCTGAGATGTAAACAATTCCCTCCAAAATGTTGGGGTAAAAGACAAGACTCCATATGACCATGATTGTAAATATAATTGCAATACACCAAAAAGATGTAGGTGATCTGTTATTTTGTACAAAAAAAGCTTAGAAGGTAGCACAAAACACAGTCAGATTTCCAAATACACCATGTTCCAAATTATTATGCAACTTGAATTTAAGTGTCATAAAAATTAAATTTTTTGTTGTGCTATTAAATTTATAGATGGTATTGTGTGTCAGGGCTCTTTGAATCACTATAATTAATTTCTGAGAACTGGGTTGATTAGTTTGTCTGGTGAGCTCAATTAAAGAAAATCTACTTAAAAAGGAGATTCCACATTATTAAGCAGGCCACAGGTTTCAAGCAATATGGAAATAGAAAGGTTCTCTGCTGACGATAATAATCAGATAGTGTTGTGCTGTATGACAAGGTATGAAAACATTAGATATTTAACAAAAACTGAAGCCTTGTCGTTGTACTGTGAAGAGATTTGTGGCTGATTCAGAACATAGATGGGTTTGTACAGATGAAGGCATCATGAGGAAGGTTTCTGTTAGACAAGTTCATGACAAAATGAGAACGCTTGCAAAAAGCGTTCTCAAGAGCGTTTGTAAGAGAGCAGCTGTTAAAATGTCCTTACAAAGCAGTAAACAGTTATTTGAAGCTGCTGGTGCCTCTGGATCCTCAAGGTGGAGGATCCTCCAGAGGCTTGCAGTGCATGAACCTACTAACCCCCTGACCAGAGCTCACAAGCAGAAACAGTCACAGTGGGTCGAGCCGTACATGAAGATTCATTTTCAAACACACTCCTATGCAGCTCTGGGTGGTCCAGATGGACGCAGTAGTGGATTGGTGGTAGATCCATAAATGTTTAGAAAATCTGCTGTGCAGAGTCATTTGGAACAAAGCATTTTGAGTTGCTTATTATAGAACAAAATACTGTTGTCATCGGGAGCTTTGCTCAGTAAAATTTGATTTATACTGTAAAAGTTCATGACTTGAAAATAATACTGACCATCATTTGCATTGACCATTTAAGAAAATCTGAGTATATTTCACTTGCATAATAATTTGGAAAACAGTGCATAATAAAGAATGTTGGAGAGTTTACTTTCATATGCATCTTGAGGTCATAAAAGTTTAATTTGGTGAAATAAGATTTACATTAACATTTTGAAGCAATGCATGGGCATTTTATCAGTACAATAACCACATAACTTATCAGATTTCAATACATTCCATCATCACTTGAACTATTGTGCAATTCACAAAGCTTTTCTGCTCCTGGTGCTTTAATGGCGTTATCATCATTGTTTACTCCCACCTCTGCAGCAGCAAATAACCTTGTAACATGTACAACAAGCTGCTTAATGGTTTAATAAATGAGTCAGAAGCCCTCTTATTTTCAGTGTGTGTGTGTTTCAGGTGGAGACACCAGGGGAGGAAAACATGCAGAAACCGAAACCCAACCCGCGTAAGTTGGATTTTCATTTTTTTGTTATTCCATCCATGTGGGAATTAACTGCACGGTTCATGAGAGAGATGATCTTTTATTCACCCATCTTGCTTTCAGTAAACCGTGTTTGCGCCCATGACGAGCTCCCCCGCTGTCTTTAAGGTTACTTCCTGTCACCACACTTTCACCTCCCCACAAAGAGCGTGGAAGAGGTGAGAGGGAGAAAGCCTGAGCTGTCATCACAGTTTAGATCAGTGTCCTGCCTCCAGCCACCGCTGCCTTTACACCCCCTGCCCTCCACCTCAAACCTCAAGCAGAGTATTATGTAACTTCAAAAACAAGGTCACGAAAATACCCAGAGATGAATGAAGATGGATAAATAGGAGGAGAAGGAAGAGGAAAGGAAGATCTCTCTCTTTTTCTGCCAGTGCACATGTGATTCAGCAGGGGGTCAGAGCACTGGACTGAAGAAAGCTCACAAAAGCCTGCAGACACGCATTTATCCACAGACACATGCGCAAATATGACATGTACAGATAGAGGTGTCATATTCATGCAGCTGTGGAGATCATGATAGTTTCAGCAAGACACTGCCCATCATGCCTAAGAATGTTTTTTTGTTTTTTGCTTTTTTAAACCCAGAACAGACACTTTCTAAATAGATCCTCCTTTTATGTCAGGGAATTTAATATTACAGCTTCTTTGCATTTTAAAAAGTAAATCCTTGATGCAAAATAGAATGACACAAATCAACTGTGCCTTTCAAGGAATCTATCAGACATTTTGTGTTATTTTATGAGGCAATCCACCGTGTTCTAAACTATTATGCAAGTGATATATACGCAGATTTTGCAATGCAAATGATGGTCAGCATTATTTTCAAGTCATGAACTATTACAGTATAAATCATATTTTACTGAGTAAAGCTCCCCATGACAACAGTATTTATTTAAAAAATATGAAACTCAAAATGCTCTGTTCCAAATGATTATGCACAGCAGATTTTCTAAACATTTTATGGATTATAAAGAACTGCAAACGGTCATTCTTTGATTGTGCAGCATTAACTGGTCACATGTACTAAAATCAAAAGCTATTTCAATCCAAAACATCTTAACAGACCGGCTTACATGTTAACATAGGATTTGTTCTATCACCTGCACAATTCTTGCATCCATTGAACTTGTGAGTTTGTGGAAAGTTTCTACTTGAATTTTCTTTGCAATTTCTTTAAACAAGTAAACCAAATGAAAAGCTTAATGGCAACATTTTCATTTGGCACCAAGTATTTTTAAGACACTAAGTGAAATCTGAGATTGCCTTAAACATGCTTAACTCTTTAGACTATCTTTATGACTTATGTTGTTTTGATTGTGGATTGAACTGAATGATCTCTACTCACATCTCATTATGTCAATGTGGGAGGAAAAATGTACCTCAGTCTTCTGCAATGTTTGGTTTTTGAAGGCGCATGCATTCTAAATCTGGCTACACTGGAAGCATGTGTGCACAAATCGCTACTGCCAAGAAACATTTTGCTAAATGCGTTGGTCAAATTACAATCATGTTAAATTGATGAGAAAAAAGGTTGTGCAGAATTTGGTTTTGGGAGATGCCATTTCCTCTCTGATAAGTTACATTTTTATATTGCCATTTATTGGGATGATGCAGGTTCAGCATCATTCCGTCACATATGTTTCAATGACATTACCAAGTTAAAAAAACACAAGCAGACAAAACAAAAAAAAGAAAGTGGTCCATCATACAATAATTCTGTAAGATTATTATCAGTTTTAGTTTTACTAAAACTGCAAACATCTTTGCCAACTTCATTGTAGATAATTAAAATCTAATTGCAGATACAGTCCTAAAGTATTCCCGGTGTTTTAAATCTAGATTACATGCTGTATTACACAGGGAGCCAAGACGAATATGCATTATGATAATCCAATACTGTACAAATGTGTTAATTACACATTCTCCTGGCTTTCTTTGTT